TGTCGCCCTGTTGATGACGTCAGCGACGCAGTTTAATCAGGCGCGGCTTAGTCGAGCGCGGTTTTGACCGGTCACGCTGGAGAACTAGTTCGGAGAACCAGCAACTGCCACCTCTGGCTGGCCCCGACCCCATCTATGCCCTGCCTCCCGAGTCCCAGCTGAGGAAACGGGGATTTTGCAGTAACCTTCCCCTGCCACGGCCGCCGAGCCACGCCCACAGAAGCGGTAGTAAAAAAAATTGAATCCCACCACTGCGTGAAACCGAAATAGGTTATATTGGGTCAGCCGGCAGGTAGCCACACTTGATTTCTGCTTGGGAAGGGGGGGTGATGCAGATGTGCTCAACTGCTTTCGATGGGGAGGGGGCGTTGTGAGATTGAGCCTGGGCACGTCTGTTATTCCAGGTTGGCTGTGAACAGGTGTTGGCCAGTAAGGACCCCATCCGAGGACTGGCAGCTCTTTCAGGTGAGTAGATACGCCCAGTTTTCATTCTGCGAAGGAAGGCTGCATTTCCCCAGGGTGGGGGGCCATGGGACAGATGCGCCGCCAGTTCGTTTCCCTGGACACCCCAGGAGAAACCCAACCTGCTTTGATCCAGCTATTTCCCGCCGTCCAAAGGCCCCCCTCTCTCGGCTTCTCCTGGGCTTGCAATCCCGGGCGGCAAGTGAACGAAGCAGCAGGCGTGATCGGCCAGAGCCCGGGGCAGGCAGCCCACCTTTAACCAGGTTCCCCTGCTGGGGTGGCAGACCCAGACGCCCTCCTCTTTGCTCCTCCGCCGCAGAGACCCTCCGCCTGTGACGTACAGCTGAAGCTGGCTGGTGGTGAGGCCGAAGTGGCAGAGGTCGACGGCCGGCAGGCGGAGCTGGGCCCATTGATCGGTGTTGGGGCAATAGTACTCTGCCTCGCTCACAGGGACCCACTCCTGGCCCTATAAAGAAGCAGAGTATAGGGCAGAACCAGAGGGCACCTCCCAGAATGCCCGCCGGTTGAGCCTCGGGGAGCCCCAGGAGGGATGGAGCCAATGCCACCTACCTGGGCCAGAGCTCTTCCTCCCAGGCAGAAGATGCGGTCTCCCACCGCCGCCATGCCGTGGTCGCAGCGGGCAAAGGCCATCGGCCGGTTCCTGACCCAGCAGCGCAGGCGGGAGAGGTAGCTGTACATGGTGCTCAAAGTCTGGCCCTCCGCGAAGCCCCCTGTGGCGAAGGGGAAGAGGGGCTGCTGTGTCTTCCTCTGCTACTCAAGGCTGCCCCAAACCCTGGGGCATCTCTCTCCAGAGGAGCCAGTGCCAGCCGCCCGTAACCCCTTCCGCACCTGAGATGTACAAGATGCCTCCGTGCGTTGCCCCCGCATGGTCAGCCACCGGCACCGGGAAGGGCGGGAGGGGCCACCAGGCATTCTTGGCAAGGCGGTACTCCTCGGCCGTGTCGATTGGCATCCCCAGCGCTGCTCCGCCCCCCACGGCCACCAGCCGCTCGTTCAGCACCCCTGCGTAGAAGCGGGTCCTGGGCACCAGCATGCTGGCCAGCTGCAGCCAGGTGTTGAGGCAAGGGTCGTACCTGAACACCTGGAGTTGGAAGAGTGAAAGGTCAGGGGCTCCCCCTAGTTCCCCCTTCGGGAAGGAGGAAGTCGGCCTCGCCTCCAGCCGCTATCTGACGTTGCCAACGAAGAAGCAGGGACCTTTGCTCTCCCCAAGCGACTCCGTTGGCCTCTCGCTGTGAAGGAAGCTGAAGCCGCCAGCCGGGCCTCTTCGGACCCTTGCGGCTGCCTTACCTTCTTGGAAGGCTCCTGGCCGGTCGGATCAAAGCTCTCCTGCCCCCCCATCACAAAAACGAAGTCGTGCAGGACAGCCACACAGTGGTTGTAGAGGGGCCCGCTCAGCTTCCCCACGGCTGTCCACGAACCGCAGTGCTGGCCAGCAGCCCAGACCTCCCCGCAGACGGCGTTGTCTGCCGATCGGCCCCCCAGCACCAGCAGCGTCTCGTTCCTGTGCCGCACCCGGGTGCCCTCGCTCTGGAGAAGCGGCTGCACGTACGGCCGGCCGTGGTAGTCCAGGGCTTCCCGCAGGTACCGGCGGCAAGCAGGCGCGGTTCTCATGACGGGCGTTTCCTGGACGAAGCCCTGCAGATCCGGGAGCGGAATGGAGGGGAAGCGGATGCAGGCCAGCACCCGGGCTGCGTCTTCCTGGCGGGAGTCGTCGTGGTCCAGCCAGCAAACGGCGGCCTGGAAGAGCTGCAGTTCGCTCATCCCCCGGGTGTCTCCTCCGTCCAGGAGTTCGCAGAGAGTCTCCCTGTCCAGCTCCTTCAGCTGCGCAGGGTCCCTCAGGAGGTGGCCGCAGTGCTTGCCGGCCCAGCGCTGCACTTTCAGCCTCAGTTCTTCGGGCCCCAGCCGCTGGGCGAGGCGGAGGATGGGCAGGCAGGTTTGCTGGTCCAGGGCTCCTTCCAGGAAGCGGAAGGCCAGGCACATCACCTCGCGCACCAGCAGCGCCTCGGCCGCCCGGAAGACCTCCTCCACCGTCTGCAGGGTCAGCTCCAGCCGGTTGGAGTAAAGGAAGGACAAGACGGCCTGCAGGCCCCGGGCGGTTACTGGCGCTGCCAACTTGAGCGGGGCTGCCTGGCCGGCCGCCTGCCTGGCGAAGCGCATCCTGCAGTAGCCGCTGCCCACAGCAAGGACGGCTCTGTGGGCGGGGAAGGAGGCCCCCTCGGCCTCCAGCACCACGTCGCACAGGGAATTCTGGGAACGCAGGTCCTGGAGCCCCTCTAGGAGTTTCGGCAAGTAGGTATCCGAGCTGAGGCTCTTCCAGCCTTCTGCCACTTCCCGGCCCCCGATCTGCGTCTCTGCCGAAGCCATGGCTCTGAAGCGGCCCTTTCCCTACCCTCTGCCCACTGGGAGCATCTCTGGGGCTTCTCTGGACTCAGCCGCGGGACGGCCAGTCTTGTTTTTCTGGGCTCCCAGGAGAGCCGGTCAGCTGATCCCTCATCTCCAAGGCAGCAGCAACCAATCTCCTCCCCTCCCTCCCATTGGTTGGTGTCCAGTAAGGTGCGGTGGGTCCTCCGTTTCCTGGTCTGGCCAAAGTGGGGAAGAAAGAGGCAAGCCCAGGCCTGCCCCCAGCTTGGAAGGAAGGAAGAGCCGGCTGCTTCGGCCTGGACTTTCTCTGCGGCCTTCGGCCCAGGAGGCAGCAGAGGACAAAAATCTGCCTTCCTGCCGTTCCTGGGATTTATTCCTCGGCGGAAGGGAAAGAAGTTTAAGAAGGGATATTTATTTGCAATTTCTCTGCCCAGCCACCAGCACTTTGGGATAAAAAGCCGAGCTCCCCATTGTGCCTGGCAGCCGGACTTTGCAAAGGGTTTCTCCCCTTTCGCCTGAGTCACTTGCTGAGCCCTCGAGCCTTTTGTGTGTCTCTGCTTGTTGATGGAAGGATCTCCATCACCTCAGCTTTTCCTCCTAGGGGCTTTCTGGTTACTTTAGCTGCGTGTCGCCCAAAGAATTTTAATCTGAGACTTTGGAAGTTGGGCTTCAGGTGGGCTTCATGGGCGCTTGGTGGGCCCACCTAGATTTCGGGTTAAGAAACCGCCTCCCTCCACCCAACCTCTTCCTCTCTCTCTCTCTTTGGAGTACCTAAAGTGGACACAGCCTCTTCTTCTTGCTCTACCAGGAGTATTTTACAACTCCACGGGGACGGAAAGCTGTTTTGACATCTACGAGATGTACCATAGATGTTCCGATCCAACCGGCTGTGGCTTAGGCCCCAATGCTGAAGCTTGGGATTATCAGGTAGGTTGGGGGAAGAGCTGTCTCACCTGGGCTGGCCAGGAAGGGAGGAGACTGCAGGGACGCCCAATGGGGGTGGGTGGGCAGCTGCCATTCAGAGCTTCAGTGGTACAGTGGTTAGAGTGCAGTCCTGCAGTCCACTTCAACAGTTCGAATCCCACCAGGCTCAAGGTTGACTCAGCCTTCCGTCCTTCTGAGGTGGGTAAAATGAGGACCCAGATTGTTGGGGGGCCGGCTCTGTAAACCGCTTAGAGAGGGCGGTAAAAGCACTGCAAAGCGGTATATAAGTGTAAGGGCTGTTGTTATATCAAGGCATTTGATTGCCAGGGATGGAATGGGAAACATTTTCCAAGGCTGTGGACTTTTTTGCTTGATATCCGAGCAAGGTTCCCCAATGTTTTTGCAGGGGGGGGGGTGTTTCTTACTATGGGTCCCCCCTTCTCACAGGGAGGAGCCAGCTTTCTCCACACTGAAACCAGCAGACACCGAGGTGAGCAGAGGGCTGGGCTGACGCAGTGCAGACAGGACCCATCCACTCCCTCCCCCCCCCCTCAAGATCAGGACGAGACACACACACACCCCCCCCCGCAGTTGCTCCTCCCGGCAGCCGGACTCTTCTCTGTTCCAGGCCTGCACCGAGATCAACTTAACGTTCGACAGCAACAACGTGACCGACTTTTTCCCGGAGCTGACCTTCCCGGAGGCCGCCCGGGAGGGCTACTGCTTCCGCAAGTGGGGGGTCTGGCCCCAGCCATCGTGGCTGCGCACCAACTTCTGGGGCAGCGGTGAGCAGCAGCCTCTGTTGGGATTTCCGCTTGCGATGGTGGTGGTGGTGGGGGCGTTTCCTGAAGGGCCCCCTTTGCTCTTGGTGATCTGCGGGAGGGGGGCGCGGGCGCCAGTCTTAAAGGGCAGGAGGAGGGGGTCCCAGATGGACAGGTGGGAAGGAGGCTCTTTCTGGGCCCCTGTGAGGACACGACCTGCTGTGGGAGTCTGGTGTTCTCCGTCCCAAGGCTGGGACCTCCTTGCGGGAAAAGCCCAGGGATCCTGCTGGGAGACACTGGGAGCTTTTGCAGAGTCACTGAATGGTTTTAAGGCAGGCACTCCTCCCGAGAAAGCCCCCCCTCCCCTC